CCCAACAGAAAAATGAATAATAAATAGGGCAGTGGATTTGGGTAGGAAACTATGAGTAGGCTTATATAAGTTCCTCTTTTTCACCCCAACGTACCTTATGAGCAGGAATGGTTTTAACATTAATTGTTGGTGTGTTTGATATTGCTAGCATTAAATCATTTCTCTGCATTTAGATGGGACTGTAGAGTATAAATCCAAATTTAAGAGCTGAAGATTTCAGTTTCAAGCAGACATCATGGCTATAACATCTTACCTAATGTTAGGATTTGCTTCCATCTCACCCCTTCCTTGCTTTTTGTAAGTATTCGCTCAGTGAAGTGTTCAAGAGAATTCAAAATCCTTCATACAGTTATGCATCATTCTGATTGGTCCTAATCAGGGGTGGGATTCTACCACTTCAGACTGGTTCGGGTGAACCTGTAGCTCCGACGATCAGCTGGGAGTGAACCGGTTCGCTCCGATGATGAAGTGGGCCCACCGGCCTGCCCCTGCCAGTGGTGGGTTTCAAATTTTTTTAGAACCTCTTCTGTAGGTGTGGCCTGCTTTCTGGGAGTGGTTTGCTAGCCATGTGACCAGGTGGGAGTGGCTTTTCAGCCCCGGGATTGGGGGGGGATGGCCAACTTGTAAAATGTGGTGAAACTCACTTAACAACGCTCTTGCTTAGCAAGCAAAATGTTAGCTCAGAAACTCTGGCATTTGAAGCACGCAAGTCTTAAAGCTGTCAACTTACAAGACCCTTGCACCCCTAACTCTTTAGAAAAAAACCCCAGGGGTGTTCAAACTTGACAGTTTTAAGACTTGTGGACTTCAACTCTCAGAATTCCTCCTCTCATTCTTCATCTTGATGATGTGCAGACGGGCGGAGGGAGGGAGCTGGAACCAGATCTAAACGGCACTGTAGATTAGTGGAACCTCTTCTATAGAAGAGGTTAGAACCGGCAGGAACCCACCCCTGCCCCCTGCCCTTTACTTACCTATATCTTCTCAGCTGAGTCACGCGGCAGAGGGGATTGCCGCACCTCACCTGTTTTCCTCCCCAGCAGTGAACCGCGCAATCACCGAACCGGTTGTTAAACTGGTAGGATCCCAAAACTGGTCCTAATAAAAGTTTTGCTGAACTGCGTCTTCTACGTTTGAATCACTAAGAGGCATACAGTCAAGAAATTTATCACACGCCAATGCGAATAGAACAAAAGTTGAACTTACCACCACCATTTTTGTAACACAGATAAGGGAACCGCCAAACATTCCCCAAACCAATGATTTCTCCTGCCACAGACAGCACGTATTCCAGTTTGTTGTTCCAGTGGTCTCGATCTAGTGTCTGATTCCCTGCTTCTTTTTTCTTTGTTTCTTTAGTGAGTTGTGCATGTATTTCTCCATTGATCACTGCCCCGGGGATTCTGTAATCCATTCCACCTTCAAAAGACCAGTGCTGTTTTTCGCCCTCCCACTGTTTATGCTTACAACAATCAAATTCAAGCTGGAAAAAAAAAAGTGAGAAACAAACTCAGGGATTTGTTCAAGAGTTCACAGCCCAGCTGACTTGCTGACAACAGCTGGAAATGTTGATGTTCCTTGTGCACAAGATGTACCCACAGACTTCACCGAGGTAGGAGGTGTTTACTTTGGACTCAGAGAACACGGACAGCTTCATTTTTAAGAGACTTCTTTCAAAATGTTCTGGTTCCTCACAGCGCATCTTTTCATCCGACGTGTCCTGATATTTTGTCCACCACTGGTGTTTTATTTACCCTCTTAATTTATTTCACGTGAACCAACAATCCAGTGAAAACACTGCAAACACTGTTTACTTTAGGTCAGCCATCCCAAAATTGATAAGTTCAAATGCATTTTTGGATCATAATGTGTCACCAAGTGTTGGACCATCCTTACTTTCTCAGATCCATTTTGTCGTCCTCAAATGCCCTCAATTGGCGTTACCCTAATGTTTGTTATAATATGATTCAAGGTTAAACCTTTTCACCCGATTAACCCTTATTCACCTGTGTTTTTATTAAAGCCCAGCAGCTTTAAAAGGAGTTAAATAAGGAGAGGTATTTTTAGTGGTGGCACCCTAGCCATGAGTCAAATGCCTTCTTCAATGGTTTCTGTGCACTCATTTTTGGTTTTTTCCCCAGGAAATTCCTACATTTCCTGATCTTGGTGGGAAACCCTTCCAGTTTTGGTTTTCAAAAGCTTTTCAATAATATTTTAATAGTATTTTTGATACTTTTTGCTTTCTGTATACCAATAAGTATATTTTTTTTTGTTTCAGTATGTTGGAAAGTATCCTGGGGAAAAGACTTAAAATGAATGAAAGTTAACATTGCTGTTTCACCATGTATGAGCCTGTGAAAGGAACTGACCATCACGAGAACTACCTAGGACAGTGATGGTTAATCTTTTTGGCACTGAGTCCAAAACTGGAGCACTTGTGCACACACATGCACTGGAGCGCCGGAACCCGGAAGAGACTGGGCTGGCCAGTGCATATGTGCACGGTGCCAGCTGCTGTTCTTGGTTTCATCATACGTATTACGCATGCCAGACAGCTGGTCTGTTGCGCATGTGTACCTACAACTCGGAAGAGCAGCTGGCGACCGTGTGTGTGCCCACAGAGAGGGCTCTGCATGCCACCTCTGACACACATGCCATAAGTTCGCAATCTCCGACATAGGAGTTCTTATGTGTTCATTTACAAGGCAAAGTCCATTTTGACCCTGTTTAAGATGTTTTATTTTAAAATTAAAATAATTCCATCTATAGGCAATATGCCATCCCAATCCTCCATCCAATGAAAATGATACACATGCCAAGTTTGCTTTCTTTTGAGTATAGATAACTAAGGAGGACAAATATATGTACCTAATTTTCCTGGAAAGCTGAATCCCTGATTACGGAAGAGTGCATCATTTTCATTTCATTTATGGTCCCAGACCAATAAAGATGCATGAAGTTTCTTTGACTCAGATATGCGCATTCAGCAAATGGATTTTATGACCATGATGCTGCATCTTCCAATTGCACTTTTAATATTTTTTTAAAAAAATTAAAATTTTAAATTAATTTTGTTAATTTTAATTTTTTAGAGATTAGGTACAGCTTGATTAGAATCAGTTTATCAAAAAGATTGTTTACATAGTATTTTGCACTATCACCTTATTTTTAAAAGGCCATTTATAATAGTTCTAAACTAGGGGTGTCAAACACGATTTCATTAAAGGCCGGTGTCATCAGGGTTGTGTTTGACCTTGGGGGGAAGGAGGCATGGCCAGGGGCATGGCCAGCTTAACATCACTTGTGTTGGGGGTGCCTGTGGTGGCCCGAACGCTCTGCCAATGAAAATGGACTTTCGGCTGTGATAGCCTTCTGCAGCTCTCTGCCAGCATAAATGGAGCTTGGGAGGGCTGCCCGCGGCCCTTGCGATCTCCATTTTTGGCTGTGACATTGTCCTGCAACCCTCTATCAGTGAAAACGGAGCTCGGTAGGGCAGCCTGTGGCCCTTAGGAGCTCCATTTTCAGCTGCAACAGCCTCCTGCAACAGCCCCCTGCAACCCTCTGCCAGTGAAAGCAGAGCTTGGGCAGGTCGCACGCAGCCCCCATGAGCTCAGTTTTCACTGGCAGAGGCATTGTGGGCCAATCCTTAGCTGTTTCCAGGGCGGCCCGTGGGCTAGATCTGGCTCCCGGGCCTTGAGATTGACCGTCCTAAACCATGGTCAAGATTTTTATTTCATAGTACTATTATTTCTGGTTGAATATTCAACTGGCACATACATTAAAAGCAGTCATACGTTAGTTGAAAAACTCTGGATAACCACTGCACGGCACCAAAGAATTAGTTCTTTAGAAATCTTTGCTACAGATTTATGTTGGGGATTTGTGTTTGTTTTGGAGCCCAAAGAGAAAGAAGCAGGGATTGTTCAAAACCCTCAAAGGAGGTTTTTGAAATCATATTGCTTCAATATGTCGGATCAGTTAGCGTCTATATAGTAAATTCTAGTGAATAGGCTTGTTTTACATATATTGATGCACTGATATTGTCTCTTCTTGCAGACAGTGAGAGAAATTCTGCATTTTTGTAGAAGCCAGAAAGGCAGTGATATGTGAATGTTATAGGTCCTGAGAGCTCAATGAAAATCATCAAGTACCTAATAAGATCTGAGGGAGGGGGGGGAGTTCAGACTGATTGGTTTTAATCAATATAACTAATAAGTGATGGGAGCTGCAAATTAGTCTAAAGTACTGGGACTGTGTACCTGGTTTTATAAACTATACAAATCAGGCAGAAGTCCATTGTAGGTGCTACTCAGCTACTCAAACTGTTGTACACAAATACAGATTATATTCATTTTGCATGACATTCTTGCGCTGTCAAAGGCTGAAGACCCAGAAAGGATAGGATTGGATAAAGGTATAGGTAAAGGTTCCCCTCGCACATATGTGCTACTTGTTCCTGACTCTAGGGGGCGGTGCTCATCTCCATTTCAGACGAAGAGCCAGCGCTGTACAAAGACGTCTCCGTGGTCATGTGGCCGGCATGACTAAATGCCGAAGGCGCACGGAATGCTGTTACTTTCCCACCAAAATGGTCCCTATTTTTCTACTTGCATTTTTTACATGCTTTTCGAACTGCTAGGTTGGCAGAAGCTGGGACAAGTAACAGGAGCTCACTTCATTACGCGATGCTAGGGATTCAAACCACCGAACTGACAGCCTTTCTGATAGATAAGTTCACCTTCTTAGCCACTGAGCCACTGCATCCTGTGAGGATTATTTACTGTCAAACAGGATTGAGCTGCATATACCTACTTTTCCCATACCTAACCTTCACATGCATGCCAGAATTGAGCAGAATATACATGCCTATTTGCTGCCTTTCCAGTGGTGGCTTCAGAAGGTTTTGTGTGGTTCATTAAGGCTAAGTAGAAGCTTCCAAGATGATTATGTGCCCCGTTTGGAGGAAGAAGGTAATAGTAAAAATCAGTGTTGACCAATGGTCGATTTGCCTTTTTTACTAAGACAATGTGATATCTTGATTTTGATACAGCATGGTGCATGGACCTAGCAACTCAAGTTCACTAGAAACCTCGGTGTCAAGCTTCCATTCTGCTATTTTTGAAATGTAATGTAACATCAATGTACTTATTTTTTTTCATCTCTTTTGAAATTTTCTCATCAATTTACCAAAAAAAAAAAAAAGAGTTCTGAGGTTCTCAGAACCTGTTTTGGCTGATAGATGCATTGTTCTTTTATGAAAAGCAGCATCTTATAAACTCACCAAGAGAGAGGAAGGTAAAAGCGACGGGAATTTCTTCTACAATGCTCCCAACTTGGTGACCTTCTATAAGATAAAGGTTCCCCTCACACACATATGCAAGTCATTCCCGACTCTAGGGGGCGGTGCTCATCTCCGTGTCAAAGCCAAAGAGCCAGAGCTGTCCGAAGACATCTCTGTGGTCATGTGGCTGGCATGACTAAACACCGAAGGCACACGGAACGCTATTACCTTCCCACCAAAGATAGTTCCTATTTTTCTACTTGCATTCTTACATGCTTTCGAACTGCTAGATTGGCAGAAGCTGGGACAAATAACAGGAGCTCACTCTGTTACACAGCGGTAAGGATTCGAACCGCCAAACTGCCACCCTTCAGCGTGTTAGCTACTGAGCCACTGACCTTCTACAGTAGACCACAATTTCTATCTTCCCACCTGGCACTGCTGATTTATAAGGCTCCACAGGGATATTGGAAATTGTGTTTCAGCAACAGGACTGTTTTAGCCCAATACACCTTGGCAGTTTTATCAGATTAGGGGAACATCATTTAAACATTACTTGTAATCTCCTCAGAAATGTGTAGAGGATGACCTCTACTTTGGAACCATATTCCAAGGCTTAAATATAAATATTTTGAAAATGTTAATTAAGTTCTCCCCAAAGTCTTAAATCTTCCTACATCATATTGTCTGCCTTTCTATATAGGCAGGTAACTTTAGAAGTACATCAAAGTCTGGTTTGCATCCATGCCTTGACAGATTCATCAGATGCCAAGCAATAAATCGTGGGTAAGGAGATCCATTAATCTATCCCTTCTGGAAATCTGGTTAAGAATAAAGATATCCATCTAAAAAAGAAATTAAAAAGCACGCCATTGGCTGAGCCCCCTCCCCCAAACTCCATCAGGACCAAAACCCTTTCAATTAATTTATTCTGCCAGACCAACAATCTTTGTGTTCTTTGTGAAGAAAATATGCCTACTTCTTAAACAGATACCACAGTTCAAACAGCTGCAAAAGTTGAGAAATGCTTAGCTGAAGGAGGCATATAGAAATACACTTACTTTACCAAGTGAACAAAGTTCAGCAACATGCACAAACACACCTGTCACTTCATGATTACATACATGTATGCCACAAAAAGAAAAAGTATGGAATTCTTTTGTTACCTT